TTTAAATGTTATTTAAGGTGAGATAATGGTGGAGTTGAGTCGGAGCTTCCTCAAAACACGTCTACTCCATATTGAGACCTAGGCCACGCCCCCATCCGACCTTTTTTTGCATTTTTAATGAGACACTTCTAAATGCACATCAAAAAGCCTTGATGGAAACACGGTTACAGTCTCCCATCCTGAGCAAACGGTGGAGAGGAAAAACTCGCTGCTAATCGGGAAGAAACCTCCAGCAGAACCAGGCTCAGGACAGGCAGCCAGCTGCCTCGACCGACTGTTTGGAGGACAGGAAAGAGACACAGGAAAACACAGAAGAACTGGTCCAGTTGCACCTTCTTCTGGATTTGTAAGTTCTGGATTTCCTGCTGTACTGGAGAACTCATGAGAATTAGCTGTAGTTCTTAGAATGTGATGTTCACACTATCWTATAAAGTGGCTTAATGATAAATCTGACTTTAAGATTAAATAATTCCAGTGTATATACAGTATGGCCCAGMACAATGGAATTAAGATATACTTTTGTAATTAGTTACAAAAATATGCAAAGTTCTCTTAAAGACACGGTTAAACGGATGTAAAAACAATGGCTCACTACCATATTATGAAATGAAGAGGACCAAATCAGTCCTAACTTTGTTGCTTATTCATTTTTAGATTAAAACTCAAGATTACCAACAGATGTCAGCACAAGTAAAGTAGTATCTCATTGGGCTGTGATACTGGAGACCCCATAAATTTTCAGTCTGCCCCCTTGGTACCCACCATGGTAGCTGCTTCTGATCAGAAGTCAAGTGATGAGGTTGTGAAAGGTTTTCACAGCAGGCTGTGACCAGATGGAAGAGAAGACTCAGCTGTGAACAAAATGATGTGATTTTCCTCACAAAACTGCGACAATAAGAGACAGTTTCAGCAGTTTGGATGGAGCGCACTGGGTGCTTATTTCTCCTTTTTTTTTTACCCCCTGAACTTCTGCTGATTTAAGTTTTTGTAGGATCATTTTCATAGCAGAATATACTAACATTTCACTCAATACAAACTTCAGAAGTACTTGCAGAGCTCAGAAAATGTCACCCATATGAACATCATTCTATTTGTTGGTCTTTAAAAACTTAAGTACTTGACCAACTTCCCCCAAACTCTCTTTGGTAAGGCCATGGCTGTGCACCATTCTTGTTTAGTTCTGTGAGTAAACAGACTCCTCAAGACTTTTTCACACCATGTGACCTCACACAYTTTCCAGGTCAAAACAAACAAAACCACAAGTTAAAGAAAAAGTCYGAATCTGTTTCTGTTATGGTATTTTAAAATGCAGACAGATTCTTTTTCTTTTTACTTATTAATCAGCACCCAGGACACAGTTTTGTAARTTTTATAACAAATAAATAAGCTGAAACATCACATTCAGACCTTTTGTAAAAATAAATAAATTTTAAAAAATCTTCAAATCTACTTCAAGTGCCTCCTTCTGTCACAGCAGAGGTGTTTCTACACTTTATTGGAATCTAGCTATGGTAAATTAAACAATTTAAATAGGCATGTACCTTTATACAGAATGCCTTTTAGTTGACAATAACCGTGTTTCCATCAATGTTTTCTAATGCACATTTTGAAGCATCACATTAGAAAAGGTGAATGAAAATTGCACGATTCGAAAAATCTTCCGCTGTTTCACAAAACGGTTTATGCACACTCTTGAGGTGGTTTTTGGATTTTTCGAAAGAGTTATTGTGCAGAAGGTGAGATGGAAACACRTTTGCCAAATAAGTTCCGACGTAGCGAACWTTTTTACCTCAATCAGCTGATCCCACTGGCTGTCTGGTACTGGTACCAGCTGGACCCTCCTCCTGCTKTTGGYGTTTTCTCAGATATTCCCATAACATGAAGAGAATTACATTTCTTTTTCTGTCTCCAGACAGCATGTAACATGTCCCGTACTAGTTGATGTGATAGAATAATTACAACTTTCCTGATAGTAGCAACACGTTCCTGATGACTTCTCTCCGTCGTCCTGAGATGTGTGGACCCTGTGAGTTTGTGTCTTTTACTTCCTGTTTACTACACGCATGAATAATGTCATTGTCTGACATAATCACACTTTGCATAGCCTGGTTGTTTTGCTCCAAGCCAAATTGATGGAAGCACGTCGTATTCTGATTTTCTCTTTTTTTTTATTTCCTTTTTGCAACAAGTTCGCTCAAAATAAAATAAAATTTGGATGGAAACACGGCTTATGAGTATGTGAAGAAAAGAAAACATAACCTGAAATCTGCTTGAAGGACAGACTGAGAAGAACTCTGTTCTGACTAAACTAGGACTGAAGTGTTTAGKATGAATGTTGTGTCTGGAGAAAACCAGGCACCACTCCTTCCTCACCTGCCCAAAACCCTCACCACAGTCAAGCATGGTGGTGGCAACATCATGCTGTGGAGTGTTTTTCAGCAGCATGGACTGGGATGACTGATCAGGACTGAAGGACAGCTGAGTTCCACAGGACTCAGGACCTCAGACTAGGCTGAAGGTTCACATTCCAACATGACAAGCACCCAAATCACATGGAGAAGACACCACAGCAGTGAATGGCTTTGTGGATCTTCTGGTGGCTGAGCCAGAGTCCTGATTTGAACTGTTTTTGATGATTTCTAAAAAGACTACCAGAGTTGGGCAGCACTAATCTAAATATCAAGGTCCCCTAATTCTAAAGCACTAACTCAAATATTTAGGTCTCCTAATTCTAAAGCACTAACTCAAATGTTTAGGTCCATAATTCTAAAGCACTAATCTAAATATTTAGGTCGCCTAATTCTAAAGCACTAATCTAAATATTTAGGTCGCCTAATTCTAAAGCACTAATCTAAATATTTAGGTCGCCTAATTCTAAAGCACTAACTTAAATATTTAGGTCTCCTAATTCTAAAGTACTAATCTAAATATTTAGGTCGCCTAATTCTAAAGCACTAACTTAAATATTTAGGTCTCCTAATTCTAAAGTACTAATCTAAATATTTAGGTCGCCTAATTCTAAAGCACTAACTTAAATATTTAGGTCTCCTAATTCTAAAGTACTAATCTAAATATTTAGGTCGCCTAATTCTAAAGCACTAACTTAAATATTTAGGTCTCCTAATTCTAAAGTACTAATCTAAATATTTAGGTCGCCTAATTCTAAAGCACTAACT